GGGGGGAGCCCGTCCCGGCCGCGGCCAGACTCCGGGACCCGGCGCTCACCGCCCACTTCCCGCTGCCCCATTTCAGCTGCCAACTCCTTCCGAGACATCTCCCGGCCGGCCAGCCAGCAAGCCAGCCGGGGCCCCCAGGCCGTGCCAGGCAGTGAGACGAGACGTCGAAGCCCTCCGGACAAAGACCCCCCACACCCCTGCCGCAGACGTTTTTCTCTAGGTTCTTCAGTACCTATCTCAACACCGCACTGCGGGCTCGCAGTGGAGCCCTGGCTTCACCAGGGAGTACTCCGACTCCCTACGCGAGACGGAAGCAATAACACAAGGAAAAAACGCACGACGGGGCAGATATGCGCAAGCGGCACGACTCGACTCGCGCATGCGCGGCGGAGTTGTTTTTCACAAAGCTGTTCTTAAAGTGAGCTGGCAGCGTGGGGGGCGGTTGTCTTTGTAAGGAGATTGCAGCGCTAGATGGTTGTTGCTGTTTTCTCTGTAATTCCGATGAAGCGTTTGTAGGGGGTACACTGATCTCGTTGGCAGGCTTTTTGCGTGGCAGAGGCGTTGTTCAGTGTAAAGCGAAGATCGCATTTTGTATGAGACCTTGGCTTTTTTTCCCCCTCCCTTACTTTTCCCCCTTATTTTTTATACGCTTTGTTATAAAATATGGTGCTGGGGAAGGTGAAGAGTTTGACGATAAGCTTTGACTGTCTCAATGACAGCAATATCCCCGTCTATTCTAGTGGGGATACAGTCTCAGGAAGGGTCAGTTTAGAAGTTACTGGAGAAATTAGAGTAAGAGCTCTTAAAATTCACGCAAGAGGACATGCCAAAGTACGTTGGACTGAATCTAGAAATGCTGGATCCAACACTGCCTATACACAAAATTACACTGAAGAAGTAGAGTATTTTAACCATAAGGACGTTCTACTCGGTCACGAAAGAGGTAAGCTTTTTCACTTATTCATTCACTATATGCAGGCATATTTCCAGAAAAAGATGCATCTTTGTGTCGTCTTGGTTTATTCCTTTTTCACATGCAGTCTCATAGGGTTCACTATTTCTAAAGATTTGGAAATGCTGGTTATGTTCTTAGGTTTTATTTTTGATTGTTTGAACATCTACTTAATGCTAAAACCGTGTTGAGGTGCATTTTCAAAGTACCTGCAAACAGGGTTTTCTTAAAATTCTTGCCTTTTAGCAGAATCTTTTAATAAGGATTTGCTTTTGTAATACAGTTTTTTGGCTATGCAGTGTTTTGGGTTTTTTTTTCTTAGTGATATTAGCAGGATTTGTTTCTCTATGTGGAAAATGGCTGTTAAATCAAAACCAGATATGCATTAAATTACTCTATTGGTAGCATCCTATCGAATCATAAGTATAATTAAAACGTAACACTAGACTTTTTGACACGTAATAGATATAAGTCTGACTTTCAGACTGATATGCAATGATTTTTATGGTTGGCTCATTGTTGGCAGATAAAAGATTCTCTATGGCTTACTTTGACATTCTATCACTACCTCACCTGTAATTTTCCATCTCTTCCTTTGTTCTAAACTAGTATACTTGTAAATTACTTTCATTTATTTTATTAAACCCCTCTATGGGGGACCCAAATGTAAAAATTATCTGAAAGGCCGAATAAGAGGTCATGGTTGTACAATCGAAGCATCGCTTCTGAGTTGGAGAGTTCTGGAACCTGTATTCAATGAAAACCTGGTCTTCCAAGCCCCTATAGAAACGGAAAGTGCTCTGCAAGTTCCCTTATTTTGGGTATGGAAATGGGGTATTACATTGTGAGAGGGATTGTGAATCTTAATTTGTCTAATCTGTTCGTGTAGTTACGTTGTGAAAGTGTAAGGGACTCTAGGCTTGTTTTTTCTGAAGTTTCCACCCTTTGTTAGAAGCGGTTCAATCCTGTTTGGGACCGGTCCTGGGAAGAAGGGAGGGAGTACTACTCCTCTCTGCAGATTGGTTGCACGCGTCAGGTGGTGGCGATGACTTAATTCCTAGCACAAGAAAATGTTAACACTGATTATATAATTTGGGTCGGGTGTTTTGGTGTGGTGGTGTTGGGGTTTTTTTTGTGGGTGGTTTTTTTTAATATATATATATGCAGCATTTTATATATTATAATATACTGCAGAGGATCTATGCAGTAAAATGCAACCTTTTCTTTTTTTTTTTTTAAGAAATTCGGCTATAGATTGCATTGAGCCATTTATTAAGCACTTCTGAAAGAAATACTGTAGCAGTGTGGAGTTGCTGTTGACTTTAATTATGTTATCGTGATGCAAGCAAGCACGAATCACTCATGAGGTGGCTTTGTAGCTCAAACGTTCTTTATACTGCCGCCTTAGAAATAATTTTCTCATGTGAAAGTTCGTTCACCTCTGGCTTGCAGATGATAGAAACGTGCAAACATGCATGAGGCGTTCGTAGCGGGATGTATGCTTACAAGTAGGAGGGCAACCCCATGCTTCTAACTGTCTGCTTAAGCGGCAGTAATGACTTTGCATGTGGACTGTAGCTCCAAATGCTGACCTCGATAGTAGGTGCTTGCCTTTGGCTGGAAAGGGAACAAAAGGTGGCAGGGAAGGGAGAGATCTGGCACGTTCCGACACCAGAAGCAAGACAGGGTGCGCACCGCTGCGTGTGCGGCACGTAAAAACAAGCAGTTGTCCCGGGACACCGCTGCTCCTCCCTCGGCTGCAGGGGCAGGACCGCGAACATTCACCGCACAGAGTGAAGTTTAACTCAACACTTTGTATCCTAGCATAGTCCGGAGGGCCACTCCCTGTCCCCACCTTGTCATTGGCTTGCTGGGGTTTGTTAGCCTGTTGCTAAGGCGATGTCAGCCGCTGATTATAGGGGGCTGGGACGTGGGGGAAGAGCGAGGCTGAGGGAGCAGGTTCCCTTGCCCGCCCTCTGGTGTGTGCTGGGGGCGCAGCGAACGGGCTCTGGCCACCCCGAGGTCAGTCCTGTGTGGAGTTGGGGGCGCTCCGGGCCCGCTTCCCTGAGGAGTTAGCAGAGTATGCACGGTGGGGGAGGGCACTAGCTGTGAAGTGAGGAGTACAAGTTTACCTTTCTGGGAAACCGGGGGGTGGGGAGTTTCAATTCAGCAGTTGCTGCTTTCTCCCTTGCTGCCTGCAGCTAAGGCGCTGCCCTGCTAAGGGGGAGTGCCGTCACCCTGGTCACTCTTTGTTGGGAACAGGGCCTGCCTGGCAATGTTGGCCTTGACGGCTCAGAGGGTACGCTGCCTTTCTTGGGAAAGTCAGTTTCTGGGGACAGACGGAAGCATTCAAGCTCCTGCTGTGCACATCCACTGGGCCAGCAAGGGGCTATGAGCAGGGGTGGCCACTGGGATGTGTGGCCCTGCAGCCTCTCACATCCCTCACTCGGTTGTCTTTCCCCTCTTGTGACCCCAGCCAGTACTATCCATAATCGCCTTTCGGTAATGGTCAGCACATGCTCCTGAGAGACATGCAGGATTGGGGTGTCACCTTGTATGTAGCGCAGGGCAGGCCGGGGCAATCCAGCAGCATGGCCCTGTGGTATGAGGAGACCGGATGGTGAGGTATGGGTGGTGCCCCTCCCTCTCTCCTTACGTCTTCGGTAGTCAAGCTAGGCTGTGAGTAGAGTTGCTGAGCAAATGTGGTGGGGTGTAATGTATACTGTATGTATATGAGTGGCTGGCAGGGGGTCTGCTCACGCCTGTTTAGGCCAGTCCTTTCCTGCTCCTGCCTAGACTGTGATTGACAGCTCAGTACTTGTTTACCACATTTCTGCTGCTCAGGCTCAATGGGGCTGCTGATCTGGCAGGAAGGAAGTGAAGAAGGGATGAAAAAAAACTTATGTGCAAGGGAAAAAAAAAATTACTTTAAATTTTTTTAAAAAACAAGCAAACAAAAACCTCCAAGTTTTTTTTTTTTTAACAAAAAAGCATTATACACATTGTTTTGCTCTTTTAGTGTATTGAAGATTCTTATTTCATGACATCACATGCTGAGGATGCATTTGTGTAAATAGTGTTTTAGTGTTTTTATATTTTTTGCATAGCTTTGTTTCAGCATTTCTGGTGCACTAAAGAAATTAGAGCATCAGCATTTTTGTAGGACAATGGGAACTAAAAAAAAAAATAATCTTAAAACGTACCAACATTCCTTCATGATGTTTCAGACTATTAACAATAGGTAGTGTCTTTTGCATAATCCCACTGTATATATTTTTTTTATTACCCCAACCCTTTTGCATATGAGATGCTCAATTATCTTCTCTGAATAACTTCTTATTTTGATGGAATTGGCATTTTTTTCTGGTTTCATGGTTATTATATCAGAACAAACCACAAATTTGTTGGAGCACTTAAAGCAATACAAGGAATCATGACTATAAACCAAGGTCAGCTTTCTTGTTGAAATTAGGAAATATTTGGGTCTTTGCTATCCAAGCAAAATCGAGCTAAACTGAATTTTTGGTACAGTAGCTCAAAACAACATTAATTGGACAGCTTGCCACCTTTTGTGCCCCCCTACATCTATTAATGTAGCAGACTTAATACTATTAGAGAGCTCTAGTTCATTTTAAGTAATCTAGTATTAAGTTTTAACTAGAAATCATATTGGAAACCACAGTGTACATTACAGATCTTTCAGGCAGACCTTGAAATGGTAGCAGTTACAACTATGTCATTACTCAGAATTGAGATCGTAAATTAAAACAAGTTAACTTTTGCTTTTATATAAGGGGGATTTTGGAATCTCGCCTAACCTTAAAAATTCTGTAGCCATACATCTAGCAGTTAATACAAACGAACTGGAGAGACTTGTTTCTGGGACGCTGTGTTAGTATTGTAAAGAATGTATAAATCCCTCTTATTCTGGAAGAGAAACCCATATAATATATCGTGCTGTGTAAAATGTTCACAGGTGGAATAGCATATTGGGTTTTTCCCTCCTAGATGAGGACAATTCTGAAGAAGGACTTCATACCATTCATTCAGGGAGGCATGAATATGCATTCAGCTTTGAGCTTCCACAGATGTAAGTACTTACATGCAGCACACAGCTTGTATGAGAGAAGGCTAAGATACATACCTGCCTAAGAAAAATTCTTGTGGGTGGAGGGGAAACCTTTTCAATGGCAGTAGGAGTTGTGCTCAGACATGCAATAGAGGACATAATCTCATTAAATTGAAGAGGTTGCTTTTAAACTGGCTAAGAGTTTTTCAAAAAACAGCAGCTTGTTGTTGCCTAGCTGGTTACTCTCTCTTGACTGAAGTCTATTGACTCATTTTGTCTTGTAGTATGTTACCCCTTCGCAGGAGAAGGGAGGGGAGTTTGTGTCGTTTGAGTCCTGCAGAGTGGCTGAGGTATCTTCTAAATTAAACAAGATTTTACTGGAGCCGTGCAGGCCATCAGAACTAGTGATAAGATAACAGCTTGACTGTTCGGGCTCAGTATGAAACAGATGTGGCAAGCTTAACCACCTCTGAACAAAATGCAGATGATATTTTCTCCTAACTTTAGTATCATAGAGTTGTCTAGGTTGGAAGGGACCTTGAAGGTCATCAAGTCCAACCATCAACCTTACACTGCCAAAACCACCACTAAACCATGTCCCTAAGCACCACATCTACACGTCTTTTTAAATGCCTCCAGGGATGGTGACTCCACCACTTCCTTGGGCAGCCTGTTCCAATGCTTAACAACCCTTTCTGTGAAGAACTTTTTCCTAATATCCATCCTAACCCTACCCTGGTGTATCACAGAATCGCAGAATGGTCAGGGTTGGAAGGGACCTCTGGAGATCATCTTGTCCAACCCCCCTGCCAGAGCAGGGTCACCTACAACAGGTTGCACAGGACAGCGTCCAGGTGGATTTTGAATGTCTCCAGAGTGGGAGACTCCACCACCTCTCTGGGCAGCCTGTTCCAGTGCTCCACTACCCTCAAAGTAAAGAAGTTCCTCCTCATGTTAAGATGGAACTTCCTATGTTCAAGCTTGTGCCTGTTACCCCTTGTCCTATCACTGGGCACCACTGAAAAAAGACTGCTCCCATCCCCCTGGCATCCTCCCTTTAAGTATTTGTAAGTATTAATAAGATCCCCCCTCAATCTTGTCTCTAGACTAAAGAGACCCAAAGTGTAACTTGAGGCTGTTTTCTCTTGTTCTATTGCTTGTTACTAGTGAGAAGAGACTGACCCCCGCCTCTGTACAACCTCCTTTCAGATAGTTGTAGAGAGCGATAAGGTCTCCCCTCAGCCTCCTTTTCTTCAGACTAAACAACCCCACTTCCCTCAACAGCTCCTCATAAGACGTGCTCTCCAGACCCCTCACCAGCTTCGTTGTTCTTCTTTGGACGAGTTCTAGAACTTCAATGTCTCCCTTGTAGTGAGGGCCCCAAAACTGAACACAGTACTCAAGGTGGGGTCTCACCAGTGCTGAGTACAGGGGAACAATCATTTCCCTAGTCCTGCTGGCCATGCTATTTCTGATACAAGCCAGGATGCCATTGGCCTTCTTGGCCACCTGGGTACACTGCTGGTTCACATTTGGCTGGCTGTCGGCCAGCACCCCCGGGTCCTTTTCTGCCGGGTAGCTTTCCAGCAGCTCTTCCCCAAGCCTGCAGCACTGCATGGGGTTGTTGTGACCTAAGTGTAGGACCCGGCACTTGGCCTTGTTGAACTTCATACAATCGGCCTCAGCCCGTTGATCCAACCTGTCCAGATCTCCCTGTAGAGCTATCCTATCCTCAAGCAGATCTACTCTCCTGCTTAACTTGGTGTTGTCTGCAAACTTACTGAGGGTGCACTCGATCCCCTCGTCCAGGTCATTGATAAAGGTATTAAAGAGAACCAGCCCCAGTACTGAGCCCTGGGGAACACCACTTGTGACTGGCTGCCAATTGGATTTAACTCCATTCACCACCTCTCTGGGCCCGGCCATCCAGCCAGGTTTTAACCAGCAAAGAGCATGCCCTTCCAAGCCATGAGCAGCCAGTTTCTCTAGGAGAATGTTGCGTGAAACTGTGTCGAAGGCTTTACTGAAGTCCAAGTAAACATCATCCACAGCTTTTCCCTCATCCACTAAGCAGGTCACCTTGTCATAGAAGGAGATCAGGTTTGTCAAGCAGGACCTGCTTTTCATGAACCCATGCTGACTGGGCCTGATCCCCTTGTCCTGCATGTGCTGTGTAATGACACTCAGGATGATCTGCTCCATAACCTTCCCAGGCACTGAGGTCAGATTGACAGGCCTGTAGTTCCCTGGATGGTCCTTGTGGCCCTTCTTGTGGATGGGCTTGACATTTACTAACCTCCTTTCAACTGGGACCTCCCCGGTTAGCCAGGACTGCTGATAAATGAGGGTGAGCTTGGTGAGCACTTCTGCCAGCTCCCTCAGTACCCTTGGGTGGATCCCATCCAGCCCCATAGACTTGCGTATGTGTAGGTGCTGGAGCAGATCACTTGCCATTTCCCTGTGGATTATGGGGTCTTCATTCTGCTCCCTGCCACTGTCTACTAGCTCAGGGGGCTGGGTACTCAGGGAAGGACTGGTTCTACTACTCAAGGCTGAGGCAAAGGCGGCATTAAGTATCTCAGCCTTTTCCTCATCCTTGGTCACTATCTTTCCACCCCCATCTACTAAAGGATGGAGATTCTCCTTAGTCCTCCTTTTATTACAAATGTATTTGTAGAAGCTTTTTTTGTTGTCTTTAACATCAGAAGCCAGATTAAGTTCTAGTTGGGCTCTGGCCCTTCTAATTTTCTCCCTACATAGCCTCACTAATCTTACATTCTTCTGAGTTATGGGAACTTTGCAAATAAGTTATGCTTATTATGATGCGCTAAAAATACAGTTCTACGTACTGATTCCTAATCCGATCAATTGTATTGTTATTGGAAAGAGAGAAAGATTTTACTCAACTTTGACCTTTGTCTCGCACAGACCACTTGCTACCTCATTCGAAGGCAGACATGGCAGTGTGCGCTATTGGGTGAAAGCTGAATTGCATAGGCCTTGGCTTCTACCAGTAAAATTAAAGAAGGAATTTACAGTCTTTGAACATATAGATATCAACACTCCTTCATTACTGGTAAGAACTGACAGGATTACTCATTCTTTTTCTGGCATAAAAATAATGAAGTATAATAACTGAAACACCATCAACATGTAATTTTACCTAATATTTATTTGCTAGTTTAACTACAGCTCTTCTTTTAGTATTATATCAGTTTAGAAACTCTTTAACTGCTGGTATTTTGAAGGCTAAGTTATCCTGTACTTGGAGTTGCTTGATTTTTACGATACATAAAATGCATTTGTCAATCAATTGTAGAATCTCATTAAGGAAGAAAATTTGGCGAACTGTTCAATTATAAATAATGAATGATCTATGGAAGGAACGGTGCAACTTAATATTTTAGTGAGGGACTGCTAACTTTAAAATGCAAAGTAAAACATTTACTGCAGTGCATAATTGATCACTTCCATATGGATAGTTTTCTATTGATGGGGAGGAAATTATCACAATTTTGTATAATCCTCTCCTGAAATTTTATTTTATTAAAACAACTTTAATGTCACAACTGTTTTCAATGAGGATTTGATTTCAGTCTGGCCTAGAAATCCTTTATTTTATCCCTTCCTCAAATTTTAATCTAGGGGGGGTGGGGTGGGAATTTAGAAGTCCATTGAAATTGGCTTCTTGTGTGTATGGGTGAAAAATCAGGCTTGCAAAGGGACCTTGCACAAACTCCTTTAAAATCAAAGGTCTCTCATTTGACTTTAATGGGCTTTGGATCAAGCCCTAAATCCTGATGTTGTGCAAAATAAGTCTTTTTAATATAGATGAAAGAGGATCATTCAGAAACTGAGGAAATAGCAGGAGTCAAGATTACAGTAGTTTAGCTTAGTTACTTTGTTTCTGAAATACAGGTTAATGGAAAGTGCAAAGATGTTATAATTTACTATTAGTTAAATGAAAAGCTCTGCAACAGTATGTTGGGATGTGTAGGCTATGAAGCGTTTTGTTTTAAGCTATACAGTGTTTACTTTTAGTATTAAAAACTGTTTTAAGTATGGCTATAGTATGGAGGATGGCAGGAAAAAGCAACATTGACGCAGCAATGGAATTAGGACAAGCATTGTATCTGTATAATGCTGTTTAAATTGCTTGAGACTTTTCCTATGAAAGTAGTTTTGTTTATCAAAATATGTAATTAATAAGCCCATTATGAAATTGATTGTTTTCCTGTGTTGATTTAAATACCTGAAGAGATTTATGGAACTCATAATTTAAATGGACAATATTTTTCTCTTCTTGCAGTCACCCCAAGCAGGCACAAAAGAAAAGACTCTTTGTTGTTGGCTTTGTACCTCAGGCCCGATATCCTTAAGTGCCAAAATTGAAAGAAAGGGCTACACCCCAGGTATGTAATAGAAGTAATTATAGGATATGTTTTTCCTTCCCTTTTAAAGCTAGAGTTTGTACTTACTGTTTTTCTATAAAAGAAACATTAAGGATGTTTTTACCATCTCAGTCTGCATCTAGCAATCTTCTCTGTATACTCTGTTAACTAAGACAGCACAACTTGTATCTCTAGATTGTTAAAGGACCTCATCTGTTAGACTGGTATGCTTTGGTTTGGGTTTTGTTTGTGTTTTTTTTTTGTGGTGGTGTGTTTTTGTTGTTTTTTTTTTTTTTTCTCCTTTTAGAACAGCTCATGGGGATCTTTCTTCTATTAGCATCAGTGGATGTTTTTTCCAGGTAGAGCAGCGATAGCAGCATCTGGTGCATTATAACAGTATACAGAATGCGACAGTTAGCTTAAGCTGCCTTGTAAATGTAAAGAGAACTTAAAATTCTGGTTTTCTTGTTTCAGGTGAATCAATTCAGATCTTTGCTGAGATTGAGAATTGCTCTTCCCGTATGGTGGTGCCAAAGGCAACCATTTACCAAACACAGGCATTCTATGCCAAAGGGAAAATAAAGGAAGTCAAACAGCTTGTTGCCAACCTCCGTGGGGAATCCTTGTCGTCTGGCAAAACAGAAACCTGGAATGGCAAACAGTTGAAAATTCCACCTGTTTCCCCTTCAATCCTTGACTGTAGTATAATCCGTGTGGAGTATTCACTGATGGTATGTTGGGCAATCCGTTTCACTCTCCTGAATGAGTAGCTTCCAACATTCCATGCAAATTCCTAGCACAGCATTTTGTGATAACTGGTTATGAAAGAAATACATGTTCTGGTATTAGTGTCCTGACAGAAGATATGGTAAGTAACTTTAGTTTAAATCCTGCAAGTTCTTAAAACAGTTCTGTGTCAACTAAGCAAGCATTTAACGAGTAGACTGCATTTCCATGCAAGGGCTCGTGTTAAGACTCTTCTTTTAACTTGAAGAGCTCATGTCTCCATAGGGGCATGGGCTCTAAAAGAGACTATTAGAAACAAGCTCCTCATGGAAACTTCCCTAGAAAGACAACTTAGATTAATACTTATGTAGTGCTGATAAACCCCCCACATTTTAATCATACACTTGTTTCATTTTTCTTCAGGTATATGTTGATATTCCAGGAGCCATGGATTTATTCCTCAACTTACCACTGGTCATTGGTACCATTCCTCTACATCCATTTGGTAGCAGAACATCAAGTGTGAGCAGCCAGGGTAGTGTGAATGTGAATTGGCTTGGTTTGACGCTGCCTGAAAGACCAGAAGGTAACTTGACAATTCTCCTGGTTCTGGGGAGTGATAGGGTTAATTTTCAAAAGAAGCTGGGAAGGGACCCAGCCAGGGTGGCTGACCCAAACTAGCCAAAGGGGGTATTCAATACCATGTGATATCATGCTCAGTATATAGTTGGAGGAGCTGGGGGGGGGCAGGCAGAAACAGCCCCTGGGGAGCAGGCTGGACTTCCTGGGTTATGGTGGTTGTATGTTTATTGCTTTGTGTGTTCCTTTATCAGTATTGTTGTTGTTATTTTCTTCTTTCCTTTGCTGTTCTGTTAAACTGCCTCTATCTCAACCCATGAGTTTTGCCTTTTTCTTCTGATTCACCCCTCATCCTGCTGCGGGGGTGGGGGGAGCAAGTGAGCGATCATGTGGTTTTTTGTTGCCGGCTGGGGCTAATTTGGCACCCAATGTGGAGCTCAAAGGGTTGAGATAATGACAGATCTGACCAGAGCATGTTAAAACAAATTTGTTATATGCATTTATTATATTAGTTAGATAGTTGCTGGTCACAATGTTGCTTTATTTGTTTGCATGGCTGTGTTATATAAATTCTTATGTGCTCTATGTACTCCCCGTGATGCTGTTTATCACCTCTGGGAGAGGGATTGGGATTATCATTTTGCTGTCCTGTGTAATACTGACTTATGATAACATCACTGTTCATGCAGTTATGTTGGTGTGTTTATACGGTATTGCTGTCCTGCCTGTACCTTGGGCGCCATCTCTTGGAACTTATTAATAATCACAGCCAATCTATGGGGGAAACGGGGGGATGCTTTCCCCAGCTCTTTTGCCTCCCTTTTCTCCTTTGGGCCAGGTACGACAGCTTTTGAGAATTTTGAATATCCTTGGGATGTTCAAACCAACATGGTCCTATTGCTATGTCTCCTGAATGTGTCTCAGGTCTTGTTTAGGGTTAAACAACTAAGACTACCACCCAGAGAATTGCCCCGAGGCTGAATAGTCATGGGTGGCATGGTATGTGGGAGAATATGGGCAGGTATCTAGAGAACTACTCACCTCCAATGTTTTGGGACTTCACCTCTGAACAACTACAGGACCCTGATAAAGTGACAGAATATTTGAAAGGAAAATGCTGTGGCTATTCCAGAGAGGCACAACTTACCACACTGTGGTGGGTCCTGGCCAGTATCTACCAAACACTGCTTGATATTATGCAGCACCCTCAGGGGAAAGAGAGGGAAACCCCTGTGACAGGCACTGTGGCTACTCTAACCCCTGCAACAGGTACTGCAGCTGAACCAGAAAATCAACCCATGCTGGTATCAGTTGCCCTGATACAGAAGAAGAAATATATGAAGGAATCGGCTTGCTTAGTAAGGGATGGCCAGGACAACCAGGGCCATCACAAGGAGGAAGAGGCAGAACCAGAGATAATCGCACAATCCCTATCCCCGAGTGAGCTGTGAGATAGCTGTGAAAAGATTTCAGCTGCCATCTGGGTGATTGCATTGTCACCTGGCTGCTCTGATGCTGGGATAATGGGGCCAGTGGCTTGGAATTAGAGGGTAGGGAAGCCGAGCAGCTGGGATCCCTGCCTAGGAAAGGAGGTGTTGACAAGGCG